TTCAGATATAATTAAATAGCATAGAAACTATCCTAAAGTTTATAAATCACATTTCAGCATTTACTCAGAGTACTCAAAGAATAAAAATGAATTTACTCATATATAAACCCATATTCTTTATACAGTATTTATCTATAGTCATTAATATTTATGTGTGTATACATAAAATTTAGCCACTTAATCTCATTCATAGTACCTATTCAGTATCCTACATCATTTGATTAAAAAACTGCTTAAAAAGCAATATGGTATAAGGAGTATAAAATGTACTGAAGTTCTGTCAAATAAAACTGGTATAGGTTTATGTCTCTAAAACATGTAGATAGAAATTAATGGCAAATTTTGTCAATGATGTCTACATTTGAAATGTTAGCAATTGAAATAACTGATTCTATTGCCACATAATACTAGTAAATATCTTAAAGAAACCTATCTTGTTATTCTGAGGACCTTATAATCTAAATTCATTACTGCTTCATCCTGAAGAACATACACTTACATTTTTAGATGGTTGGGGAAATAGCTTTTAATGTTTTCCACTGAATCCCATGGTTTGGATCTCCAGAGTGTATCATAGCTTTAGAATATGTGCTGTTTGAAGATTCAGTCATATCAGATGGTATTCTGATAATGTATTATTCATGACTCATTTACGGACAACCATGTGGCAACATGAAAGCAAAACATTACAAAGCCACATGTATCAGAGAACCCTTTTGCAGAAAGAAAAATAACAGTTGAGGGCAATTAAGTTTAAAATAGGTGAAAAAATAATTTTAGGAGAATTTTTCTTTACTCTCGTGTTCTAGATAGTAAACTCCTTTAGGATAAAAACAGAACCTAATCCAAGTTCTATAAAGTTCTAATATGTAACACAGCATAGTTTCTCAGCATATTAAAGACTACTTAGCATTTCACTTATTTATATTATAATTAAAATTTTATTTCATAGTGTGATCTCTTAATCTTTGATTACACTTTGATTACAAATTCATATTTATAATTTAGTAAGCAGAAAACTAGAAATACATGATAATTTGATTGGTTTTCTAAGGGTAAGAGAAGAAGTATAAAAATTATTTGATACTGCTTAAAACTATGTACTTTAGGAAGAAACTTTTAAATTCTTCATCAAATCATGTTGAGATAGGAGCATGTATAGAGGGGGAACCTGTGTTATATTCTAATCTCGTTTTTCTCTTGCTATTTCATCAAAGCAAATGCAATATTGTACTTCTCAATTAAAGATGGAAGCTCCCAGAAAGTCATTTTGGATTTAATATACTACAGTCCCCCCGATTCACAGAAGTTACATTCCAGGATCCCCAGTGGATACCCTGAAACCATGGGTGGTACCAAACATTATATGTACAAAGTTTTATTTTCCTTAACACACTTATCTGTGATAAAGTTTAATTTGTAAATTAGGAATAGCAAGAAATTAACAATGACAGTCGATAATAAAATAGGATAATTATAACAATATACCAGAACAAAGTTTTATGAGTATGGTCTCCTTTCTCTCAAAATACCTCATCGTGCTGAACCATCATACTTTCTCCGCTTGTGATTCTGCACACTAACCTGATGCCCCTGTGTTGAGATGAAGTGAGGTGAAGGGGGGACACTGTGACAGCATCAGGCCACTGCACAAGGGTCACCTGAGCATAGCCTTGTGATGATATGTCTCTCGGGTAATGGGGAGAGCAACTGAGCGGCTAATGGGAGGGCAGCATGCCACACACATCTACTGAACAAAGGGATAACTCACGTTCTGGAAAGTACAAAGCAGGAATAGTGAGATTTTTAACATGCCACTCAAAATGGTGCAAAATTTAAAACTTATGAATTATTTATTTCTGGAATTTTCTGGGTAATTTTTGATTATAGTTAACCACAGGTAGCTGAAAATGTAGAAAATTAAGCTACAGATAAGAGGGACTGTTATAACTACTTTTTTCAGGCTATATGAGAGCTACCTTGAAAAATTTTAATTGTGGAGTAATACAGCTTTTGCTTAATCTAGCTGTGCTTTTTTTAAAAAGCAAATAAATCCCTATATTCTCATCATAAATCTCTTCAAGTTATACGCCATCAGCTCATTGAAGTTGAAAAAGTTAAGAACATACTATCCCACAAAATGCCACTTGGGCATACTGAATATTTAAGTTAAAGACACTTAAAAAACAGTAGGTACAAAAGTCACTCTGCAGTTTCTTGAAAATAGGAGATGAAATTCTCATATACAAAAGGCAACATCCTTATGCCCAAGGCTGAGAAATCTAGACCGCAAGTGTTCTGTACTGAGCTGGTTAAAGTAATTCTTCTCTTTTAAGCTATCCTACATAATTCAGTTGCTTCTTCATGATTCAATACTTTTTGTCCAACCCTGTATACACTGAATTGACTCAAGTGCTTCTTGGGGCTTCGTTTCTTTATAGTGGCTCTTGTGCCGTGTGCACTTTTTATTGTTTTCCTCCTGGTGATCTGTGTTATGTCAGCTTACTTCTCAGGCCTATCTTGGTTCCACAGAAGATGGAAGTGGAGAGTTGCCCCTCCTGCTGAGTGCTCCCTGTCCTCAAGGTGCCTGTGGCACTTCTTTAAACTCTCTTCTTCCCCTTGGCACCTAGCTCCTATTTGTTTATTGTGTCTCAGCTTCTCTAAAAAGTCCTTCTCCTAAATGTGTTCTGCTCTGCTCTCCTGTGTGCTCCCATAAAGCATCAAATATACAAAATATTCACAGAGCACCTCTTATGTGCAAAGTACCACCATTAAGTGTCAAACAAGCAGAGTTGACTCCAGCTTCAGGGGCTGTACAGTCCAGCTGGGAAGAAGACTTCAAGCAATTAGAAATGATTAAGGAAATGATCGTAAGTATTCACCATGTCCTAAAGGAGAAATAAGGGGAGATATGGAAATACGGAGTAGCAGCACCTAGCCAAGACTAATAGTTAAAGAAAATTAGGAAAACTGTGTCATATGTGGTCTACGCAAAGAGAAGGAAAAACAGGATTCTAGGCAGAAGGGCAAACATGAATAAACACCTTGAGGTAGGTGAGAGGAGGGAATACATCACATTTTAGAAACAGGAAGAAAGGCTCTGCCCAATGCGAGTCCTGCAGCCGGTGTATTTACTCAGGACTCCCCAGTAGGCAGGCCCCATCTCCATCAAGGTTTTTTTGGCAGATCACACCCTCTTCCCCCACTCTGAGGCTCTCTCTGGACTTGGGTCTTATTGAGTTTGAGATGGGATTATTTCTTTTGAGCCTCAATGACTGAACACTATATTATAGATACTACCAATTAACAACAAATGTGACTCACATAATTGCATTCTTAGCTTTGAATAATTTAAAAGCAGAAAGGCTAGGAAAATCGAAACACAGTAGTGAAGATTTACAATTTTTTTTCCTAAGAAACTCAAAATCAGCTGCATCTGGATAAACGTATAACTTTCCATTGGCTGTTTTCTGTTTGTATTAAACAAATATTTAATTGTAGCAATTTATTGCTGAAAATGGCACTGCGCATTTCATATATTCAGCAAAGGTAGAACGGAGACGAGAAATGTTTACTCTATTACTTTTGTTGAGTTTGCACATTGAACTACTTGCCAATTATGACAGTTAACAAGGATTTTCTTCAAAGGAAGGAAAAGATTTTACTACTTCAACTACTTCAACTTGGAAAATATATGCTAGAGTAAATCTCTGATACACTGTATTGCTAAGAAGGACATTTTGGTTAGAATTGCATAATGCCTATCGCATCCCTCCAAATGTGTATTAGCTATGAGGTTTGAATATGTGAGCCATGTGGATGCATCCCATTGCTCATACTATTCTAAGAAACTCAGAATACTCTCATCCTCCTCTGCCAAATAAAGGAGAGGCTTCATGGCTAGAGGATGGGAGTTGAGTTTAATGATGGTGAAAGTGATGCCATATCCCCCCCGCCCCCACCATGCCTTAATCCCCTAACTGTGCTGATGGTGGCATGTGGGGACAATGGGAGAACCAGTCTGAAGACAAAATTTACACAGCAGGGCTGAGATCTGACTGAGCTGTGCCTGAAGGCTGCCCTCTCTCACTTGATTACTGAGGAAAGGTCCACATGCATTTCCTATTATTAGTACTATCAAAAGCATCCAACACGTAAGAATATCTTCCTGGCTGAAAATTGCACAATTGATCATGCATCTCAGCTTATCTTTTTGCCCTGGCCAAAGGCGAAAACAAAAGATAATTTGTCATCCAATATTTTAGGTATGATTTTATAGATTTTCATTAAGAAAAGACTTAAATACCCTTTGGTATCATTTCAACAGATACCAAAAAATATGGCAAAATAAAAACTTGTAAATTAAGTAAGTAAAGTGATTAAACATTGAGATTATAGATGAAAATCACTGAACACCCTTAAAGAGTACCTGTAAAGCAGTAGATTCTTCTGTGGCTTAAAATATACATCTCTCTCTCTCTGTCTCTTTCTCTCTCACACACACATGCACGCACACACACACACACACGGAAAGTTGGTATTTTATTTCTTTACATGTGAGTGTTCAGTTGACAGCCCATGGCCCAAATAAAGACCATATTTGTTTGTTTATTTGCAGTCAATATTTGAACAGATACATTATAAAATACTTGCTGCTCGATGTGGCAAAAATGAGCCAGAGATGAAGAATACCTAGTCACTTTAGGCCACCAATGAGTTCTCAGTTTTGATTACCTTAGACATGGTCCAGTTCACTCATTTTATACCTTGTCGCTGTAAGATGTTTAGATTTGTGACCTTTGAGTTTTGTTACTAAGGTTTGTGTAGCTAAGTACAGCCTTATTTGATATACAGGGAGAAAAAAAAAAAAAAAACTGACAGAAATCTAAAAAGAACAGCACAAAAGTAATTAACTATTTCAGATAAGTAAAAGCCTTAAACAAGCCCTTTCATATCCTTGGTGATAAGAGCCTTAACTACCAAATTGGCGCATATCTTACCTGTAGGTCTTTTTCTTCTATCTTCTTTTTGAGCACTTTAAGGCACTTGGTAAAGTCAGTGAGGTCCTGATCTGGAGTTGAAATAAGCTCACACCCCTAATGAATCGAAGAAAGAGAAATGTAAGAATCAGTAAAGTCTTTAGCCTCATAAACAAGAGCCAGAGCTGTACCATGGGCATCAGCAGACATTATGTATGATTTCTCTGTAATCATGATGATTATCATCATCTTTTTATTTCCCAGGAATGGGGTTAATATACTACAACATTCCAATTACACTAATGTAGCATAACCTGTGCTCTTCTTGGAGAGAATGATTGTTCCAAGAAGGGTACAGGTCATATAACATAAATAGTCTTGAAAAACACTGATGTGATGACATTCAAGAGTGAAAGAATGACTTTGTACAAGTATAATAAATTATATGCGTCGTGAAATTACATGAAATTAAAATGAAAGCATTTCTAAGAAAGTCTTCAGGGAATCTCATAAGTTTACTTACATGGATGGAAAGACAAATTTTGAAAAAAAAAAAGGTAATGATTAAATTTTACATTTTAAATAAAATTAAATTAGCTGTCCTGTTTACTTTCTTGATGGCCCAGTTTACCCCCGTGTGAAAAGCAGCACAAAGAGCTGTGCTGGCATAAATGCCTCTCGGATTCCCTTTCAAACATAATGAAGTGAATTTATAAGATTTTTGCCTTCTCTACAACAGACACCTTACCTGCTGAAAAGCACTAAAATATAGTTACAAATATAAAGCCATCAAGTGCCAGTTCATTGGCACTAGTCAACTTACATGGCCAAAGAAATCATTTTTGAAATGACACCTTCTTTCCCACTGTTGCACGGGGGCAAAGAGGTAAAACCAGAGCACGATGGGACATCCGACTTCTTAATTCAGAAGTAAAACAATTCCTGGACTCTGACAAACAGCTGAGTAAGGGAAAGTTAAATATAATCTAGTCTATAAAGTTGCCATTCAAAGAGTTCTCAAGGATACAAAACATTCGTACTGCCTCTTAAATTATTCTAAGGACCATTCTCGGTAGATTTAAAGGTTCTTCTGTTACCTCAAGGTCTCTTTAAAGGCATCAAGCTCAACCTGAGCTTCACTCATTTATGACTGTCCTACAATGTAGTGACCAATGAAAAACTTAATTCCTCATCATTCAGAAATATATTACGCTCTAAAAGATGTATATGTCATCTTTACAAGATCATTGACATATACTTTCCTGACCCTAAGAGAACATTGCAATTCACTATAATTGCTTAGGCAAGGGTATAAAGAAGTGACTAATCACAGGCTAACATTTCTAGGAAAGATCTAAGCATATGCCACAGCATATAGGAATATTATCAGGGCTGAAGCGATTAGACTATCACCAAATCAGACATGGTCAAACTGAAAGTTCCCTGAGGGCAGAAACTTGGTTGCATTTGTTAGTGTTTCTACTTCCTGGCATTGTTCTGCTACATAGTAACTGTTCAATAAATCTTTAAATAACCTTTCTTGAATAATAGATATGTAGCCTATTAAATATAGTGAACGTACACCGGCAAGGGGCTAGGACAACACAGCATCTTATTGTAAAATATAGCATTTATGACAATGGAAACCCATCTTTCTCTTTTAATGCTGATAGTAGAAACAATAAGAGGAAACTTAACAGGCAAATAGAAATAGCAACAGATGATTAATAGATCCCTGTCTGCCTCACAGTTGCCTTCACAGAATCATCAGAGAGCACTATGGGGAAAATGACACTTGAACAGAACCCAAGAAATTACCTAGCACCACAGCGATGCTACAGATTAAGAAAATAAAACAAGGGAAAACCATTGACTTGATGACAACTGGTCAACAAGGCAGCAATCAGCAACAGTGAGGGGAAAGAAAATGGCCATCTTCACTCCCAGGAAGGGGGAACGCATTCTTACAAATGGATGTTTTGTGACATTTCTAGAATTGGTTCCATGAGGACGACACTTCAAAAAAAAAAAAAAAAAAAAAAAAGCCACTAAAAACATGTAAACAAGAGTGGAATATCTTACTTTACCTCATCACTTGAAATGGACCCAGAGAAAAACCCAGATCAGGCCAAGGAGAAGAATGACTAATACTGAAAACTTCAGGACTCATCTACATCAAGAACATCTATACTCTAGCTGGGGCCTCGGACAGCCTTCCATAGCTTCTTGGGATTTTCACGAGTTTAAATGATTCTAACCTCAACAGAGATTGAGATTGAATTCACTGGAAGTGGAAAAAGTTCCAAAGGGTCTCAACGGGCAGCTTTCAACACTTAGGAGGCCTGCAAAACAAAATACGCCTCCCAGTGCAATCACAAACAGGCCTCTGGCCAAACAGAAATGTTTTCACTGCTTCCTGGGTCCTAAGGTAACCCATCAGATGTGACAGGAGAAACAGGAGGCTGCAGACGAGAAACACCAAGTTGCTGCAGAGAGAGAGACACGGAGAAACGCCATCAAGGACCAGGCAATGCCCACCTACGTGTCACACATTAATATTGATTTACAATTACTTATTAGATAGAATAAAACTAAACATCACTGTGGCATTGAGATTTTTCCAGTGAAAAATCTTGGTATTTAAAAAACTTGATATTAAAAAAAAAAAAACAAAAAACTCTTTACATTCACCATTCAAATACCCAGAAAAATACTGAAGTCAGGAGATTTGGTCACTAAGGAAAGTACAAGACTTTCTAATAAATAGTTTGTAATATTAGCTTCCTAATTAAAAATAACGGTTTATCTCAAAATATACAGAATTCTATAGTATACATATAATTTTCCAAAAGCATAAAATATAAAACTCCAACCTTCTCATACCAAGGTTTGCGTGTAAACCTTTGCTTTAATCAGTACTTTGATTTTTTTTTTTTTTTTAGTTGCATGAAACATTTTTTAGGACACAGAGAATTATTTTATGAGCCACCAGGTGGCTCCAATTTCTTTCTATACATACTTTGCATGCAGTTTTTGTCAATATACAAGTACAGTTTTAAATAACTCAAATCTAATAACACAATCCTTTGATGAGTACACCATTTTTCAAGATGGATTATTAATTTTAGTACTCCATTTTATTAATCTAGGTTCATAATGAATTAGTAAGATTTGGATTGATGTCAAAAAATTCAGCATATGTTAATATCAAGGTTATTCTGTTTTTGTTCTAACCTTTAAAAATATTTTAAAGTAAGGAACAATAATGCCATCCCCAACCCTCCACTCCCAATATGCTTTCAAAACATACACACTTTAAAGGAAAAGCAGGAAGAACAGAGAAAGTTAAAATGACAACTTTAAAATTCTGTTCCAGTATGTTGAATTGACTATAGTCTACTTTATCAGACAGCTCTTACCCCACAAATCTAAATCAGGAAAAGCCATATATAGTTATAAAGAAACTACCAGAGGTCCAACCAATATTTTTAAGGGCTTATTATTATGTTTGCTGCTTTATTGAATAATACTGTATACAGAAGAGGTAGGCATCCACCAGTAGAAAAGGGAAGTGAATGTCATAATACTACATGTAAAATACATAATAAATATAAAATACAAATATATTTATGTGTTCATCTGTAAAACAGACAGAGGCAGGTTCCTTTTCTTCCTCTTCTCATACTGAGAAATTCTTAGCAAACACCCACATCCAGTAAGTGATTGAAAGAAGGTCAGTCTTCAATTCATCCCTGAATTGTTCCCTTTTCTTTTGGCCAGCAGGGTAGGCATTTGAAATTCCATTTGGACTTTGGGATCCAGCTACATTCCTTAAAAACAGAGCTTTATTGGGAAACCCTGTACTTGGGAATAAGTTCGCCACTATCAATACTGAAGCAGTCCGCACCTATCCTTGGGTCTGTTCAGTTAGACAGACTGCAAAGGGAGACAGCTCATCACGGCACCAGAAGGTGAAAGGCCACATTGAAAAATAACTTATAAAAAGTATCTCAGGTTTACTCATCATTTTATGATTCATACATATCTAAGGATATAATTAGTTTTCAAGCAAAAGAAATCACTTAGCTTATTTCAAAATATACAGACATCTTCCAAAAGCATAAAATATAAAACTCCAATCTTCTCATACCAAGGTTTGAGTGGAAACCTTTGCTTTAATCAGTACTTTGATTTTTTTTTTAGTTGCATGAAACATTGTTTAGGACATGTTTTTTAATTAGGAAGCTAATTATTGACCATTCACTATTATTTACATGAAAAGAGTATCAAAGATTCCCAGGGTTGGAAAAGCAATAAATGTCATCAAATCAACAAAAGTTTCAAGAAATTTGAAAAGATGCTCATGAAATTAATATGAAGGAATAAAGGATCAAGAAAAGCATAGGCAATTTGGCTCAAAGGAGGTGGCTGAACTCGCCTCTCTGGGTATTCAGGTTTAAAGAGCTGTTGTAACTAACAAAAATGGAATGGGCAAAATGAAACACTGGAAGATCAGCACCACAAGGGCAGAGAGACATGCCGGCATCGAGGAAAGCTGTCTTCCAGGAACCACTCGGTGACTGGCACCCCATAGGCACACCATACACAGCTGTTGAACAAGTAGCTGAACAAGAAGACAGAAACAGACTCATACATATTGGAAACTTAATAGCAAAGTCTAAAACCATTCATAAGAAAATAAAGTAGAAAATGACCGGACCTAGGTGTAGTACAGGTCATTTCTTAAATAAGATAGGAAAAAAATTAACAAAGCCTACTACTTTATATTAGGAACTTGTTCACCAAAAAGCAACACGAATAAAGCAAAAACAAGTAAATTTTACAATGAAAGAAGATACTTCCTACACATAAGTAAAAGAGTGTTACTATCCAAAATATATAAAGAACTCCTAAGAATGTGTAATGAATAAATAATTGGTTGAAACATAAGCAGAGTATTTTAATAGGCAAATTATAGAAAGGTAAACCTGAAAAAGCCAATGACCATGAAAAGCTGTTGATTTTTTTACTCATAATCATGACAATGAAAATAAAAAATAAAATTGGCATACATGTCACACACCTCACTAATAACAAAATGGTGACATACTCAACCA